TTCGCTCAAAAAGTGTAGGAGCCACTGCCATTTAATAATATTTTTACTCTTCTTAAAATTGGATCTTTCGCAGTTTCATCTCTAAGTTCTTTTCTTGATAGAGTTAATGTGTCATAAGTAAGATTTCGTATATATTTCACTGTTTTATTTTCACTTGTTATATTATTATCATTTTTCTCTATTGGGTTTCGCGATAAAGCATCTGCAATTATATTACTTGCGCCATTCTTATACATTATTTCATAATCATATGCAGATAATTTATAAGCCCAACGTAACAATCTTTGGTTTGTTAAGGCGTTTAAATCTCTGTTATCCCCATATATTTTTATTAAAGGTTTATGGTCCGTTCGTATTTTAAATTTTCGTCCATACAAATAGTTATGAAATTTTTCTACGCCGTTTACTATGGCTTTGGCTTCTTTGTCGATTGTTGAATAATTCTTTTCAGCATCTTGTAAAATTCTCGAGGTGTAAACTATAGGGTATTCGTTACCATTATCATATTTTTGCAAGAGTACAGTTCCAAATCCTTGGTTTGATGCATCTGTTTCTAGTATTAACTCAAGATCCGGTTTATAAAATTGTATAGTATTGTGTTCTGTTACCATTCCTTTTGCTTTTTCAAATAATGCATCATCTTTTTTAGTCCAATTCCATTTAACATTTTTACTAGTTTTATTATATAATTCGGCTATGATTCCATGTAAGTTTGGTATGAACCGTATAATAGTTTAATATACCTAAAAATGATTTTATATCATGTCTATCTTTTGGCGTTGGATATTTTTGCATTGCTATTATTTTATTTTTATAAGGGTGTATTCCATTTTGATCTATTATGTATCCTAAATATGATACTTTTTCTTTCATAAAATTTATTTTGCTTGTTTTGACTTTTAATCCCGCATTTTGTAATTTTTTAAGGACTTGTTTTATATTCTCGATATGTTCAGTATCATTTTTTCCTGTGATTATAACATCATCTAAATAAACTGCTGTATCTTTACAATCAGCCAGTAAATCGTCCATATATCGTTGAAATATTATTGGTGCTGTATCTATACCAAATGGTAATCGTAAATAGCGGTAGTATCCATTTGGTGTTACCATTGTTAATAAATCTTGCGATTCATCGTCAATGCTCATTTGTAGGTATGCATCTTTGAGATCTAATGTTGTATATTTATTTCCATTCGCTATTTTTGCTATTAATTCTTCAAACGTTGGTAGAATGTGATAATCTTTTAGTAGAAATTTATTTAACGTTACTTTGAAATCTCCACATAATCGTAGTTCACCTGAAGTTTTACGTACCACTACCATTGGAGTACTCCAGGTTACTCTTGTTGTTGATGGATCTATTTTCTTGATTATTTTATTTTCTTCCAAATGTTTCAGTTAATTTTCAATTTCTACTTTTATAGGTAACGGTACTCTTCTAGCTGGCAGTGCAATTTTGTATTTTCTTCCAATTGTAGTTTTAATGGTTCTACATTTTTAATTAATACTAATTTATTATCAAACACCGTAGCAAATTCTTTATATAGTTTGTCAATATTTACGTTACCATTATCATTGTATTTATATCTATTGTTGATCATATTGATTTTTACATTTTTTGGTAACGATAAGTCAAATTCGATAAACCATGGAAATCCAGAATGACTAATAATGGAAGCCATTTTATGTTATCATTTAATTGTACTTTTACATCAGCTTAATTTTTATTCTATTATTTCCATATGTAGTTGGTGCTTTAGCCCTTCTAAGTTTTGGCCTTCCGATTTTATTCCATATTATTTCATTAATAATGGTTATTGCCGAGCCAGTATCATATTCCATTTTAAATTTTTGGTTGTTTATTAATACCTCAATTGTTGGATGTTGCCCATATTTGTATATTTTTCTTATTGAGACATCCGAATCGTCTTCTTTATTATTGTAATTTGTTTCATAAATCTTTTCTTTAGCTTTACAACATACGGCGAAGTGGTTTGGTTTCCTACATTTACTGCACAATTTTCCGTAGGCGGGACAATTTCTAATAGCATGAAACCGATTACAGAAATAGCATGGTTTTCTCCAATTACTATTATTATTTGTATGGTAGTTATTATACCCGGGCACTAGTTCTCTTTTTACATATGCTTTATTATCCTTTTGATAGTGCCGTTTATCATTATTATTATACTGCTGATTATTTTTGTCATGTTGATTTATCCGATTATTATTATCATGTTTATTCGGCTCTTTGATTTTATATACCATTTTAGCAGTATTATTTATTTCTAAGTCAGCTCGTTCCATCGCTAAAGCCAATTCTACCACTTTGTTAGCTTAACGGTTGGTCTTCGTCTTTAGTATCTGGATATCTTAATCGTAGTTCTTTATCCAGTTGTGATATCTTTAGTCCGACGATTAATTGATCTCGAATTCTCAGTTCTACATTGTCTTCAAATTCACATCTTCGGGCTAGCTCCTTTATATTTTTTAAATAGCTCATTATGGATTCAGTAGCCCCGCGACTTAATCTAATGAAATCAATTCTTGATGCCAAAATAGTTCTTTCATCTTTATATAGTTGTTTTGCTATTTTATATATGACAATCCATCCTACCTCCTCTATATTCCTAGGATAGAGTAATTTTTTGATATCAGTTATAACGTTTATTCCTCCATAAGCTATAAATAATTTTTTTAAAGTGGCGTCAGTTTGAGGAATATTTTTCACATTTAGTATATATTTGATATAATCAACGTAGTCCTCGATAGAACAATCTTCCTTCATAAAGTCCTGGAGAATAATTTTATCCTTAATTTCTAAATATATATAATTTTTTTTTATAAACAGAATTTTTTTTTATAATTCTATATATTAATAAACTTGACCGAAGACCGAAAACCGAGCGACTTAGATTTTTTTTTTTATTTCATCGCCATTTTTTATAGTCAAAACAATAGACTCTTTATTATAAAATTGTTTCCTATATATAGTCTTTTATAATTATGTCATTTAACTACTACTAATATCCAATTACATTGACCTCCATAAGATAATATTAAATGTAAGAAAGTTATCAAAATATAAACTTAACCTTTTAAAATATATATAAACATTCAAATATAACAGAATATAGTGGAAGTGCCAATTCATTGCTAGACCCAAAGGTTTTAAAACATCTTTCTAATATCATAAACATATAAATAGGTTTATAACAACGTCTAAAAAAATATTTTACAATTTTATTTTCCCCGTGGAGTAAAATATAACAACAGTAGTAATTTATTACAAGGCCCAAAGGGTTAAGAACATCTTTTTAGTATCAAAAACTTTTAACTAGGCGTAAGATAAATTTTTTTTAAATTTACACAATTTATTTTTTCCTGTGGAGTAAAATATAATAGCGGTGCCAATTAATTGCTAGACCCAAAAGTTTTAGAACATCTTTCTAATATCAAAAACATTGAACCCGGATTAAAACAAACTAGTTTAATTTTCTGTATATTTTGTTGACTCAGCAAGTCGACCCAGAAAGCCAACCCAGCAGGTCGACCTAACCACTCGACCTAGCAGGCCGACCAAGCAAGTCAACCCAGCAGGCCGACCTAGCAAGCCAACCCAGCAAGTAAACCCAGCATGCCGACCCAGAAAGCCAACCCAGCAGGCCGACCCAGCATTGCAACCCAGCAGGCCGACCTGGGTCGGCTCAACAGGCCCAATGGAACGGGTTGGGTCGCGGTCAATTTTTTGACCCTGGCTTAGGGTTGGGCCGATTTTTACCACTTCGACTCTGGTTCTTGGTAGAAAAAAACCAACCATTTAACAACTCTATACAAAATATCCTGGTTTTACAGGCACTAAGTTTGTTATTAATTAATATATTCGTTAAATTTAGTTTAGTTACAATTTCTTTATTTTATTTCAACATTTATAAATACTAAAAGTAAAAAAAATTTCACTTATAATAATATTTCTTAATAATAATAAATATGATTGGTATATTCTTAAGAAAATGTATATATTTATTTTTTATAGTTAAAGCAATACAGAAATAGTTTTTTTTGAAAATAATATCTACGATTGTGTGTAATATATAAATAAGGTCGATTTTTAGCAATATCATTGTATTTAAAATCTATAATAAAAGTATTATTATTTATACAGCAATACATTTGCCTTATTATCTAAAATTTGAATAGATAACCCCCCATTAAATTTATCCCACTCCTAGCCTATCGCCATTAAATGTCGACCTCTATCCCCTCAAAAATATTTGATACAAACTGCTTATACCCCCTCCCCTCCCCCCCCCCCCGTTTATGAAGACGCTTCACATATTCGCTATAAATCTAATAATTAATTATTCCATCGAATAATCTCCGATACCTTTTCCAACATCACCTTCTCCCCTTCCTAGATTCTCTTTTTCAGTTTCTCGATATCGTCTTAAATTTCTTCTATTTATTTATTTTTCTCCATTGTAGTATTATATTTTTCGTTTAAATTAATATTATATTTAAAAAATATATTTTATTTTATTATGGCATATTAGATATATTCATTTAAATAAATAAACAAATGATTGTACCGCAATAAAGTTTCATTTTAAGTATTAAATATAGGAATTAATCATATACACCCTAGTATTACGTAATGTCCTTCTCCTTGGTTGATACACCTAAAAAATATTATTGGATAGTGAAAAAGAAAAATTTGCAAAATGATCTTACGGTAGAGAATCATTGATAAAATTTCCTAACTTATAATATAAAATTGGAAACTAAATTCCTTTACATTTATAACATCTAATAATTGTTAATTTATATATATATATTCCTCCGATCATAAAGAATATAAATATATACATTTTAGGATTCTAACTTTTACTAAATGCAAATTATAATGTTAAATTTCGCTTATATTCTAAAAATAACCATAATTAAATTTAACTTTTCTCAGAAATTCTTTTACTGTGGTGTTGCATATAAATACCTAGTGGATAATTAATTGAACATGATCCTAACAAAATTTTATACAAGGTATTATTATAAATTGATATAAAACCTAGTAGAGCCACTTTTATGTTATATTTGTAATTTTATTTAAATATACACCTTTTTATAATGAATTTAATATAAGAATATAATATCTTAGATTTTTTTTGATAGTGAAAGTTATTAATATCATTATTTATATTTATAAAGTTAAACTTCATACAATTTTTAATCACAAATAGGATTACCTTGATATTATATTGATCATTTTTCATTTATAAGTACTATTATAATAAATTAAAAAGATTTTATCTAGGAATTCTAAATAACAATATTGTTTTTAAAATCCATAGTAAGTAAAATATAATATTATTTATAATTTATAAAAATAAATTTTAACAAAGATATTTTTAACAATATTTATATTCAAAAGCAAAAAATAATTTAAAAACTATTTTATTTATATATTAACTTACTAGCCCTATTTACAATGTTAATGGTATATTTCTATAATTAGTTACCCTTTATAACCTGCTAATTTAATATTTTTGGTGACCCACTTAATTTTAAACTTAAGCTTGTCCTAAAATACTTATTAGATCTGATACTGGCTATATTTTAATTTTGATTTTAGTCCTGAGTTGGCTTGAGATTTTAATTGAAAATATAAATTAAACACCTTCATCTAATATATTTTATTTTAGAATATTGAAATTTTCTTTTAAGACTGAGCATAACCCAATTTAATTTTATTTTAAATCCCAAGATTGACTTGCTGGGTTTCCAATAACTCAAATGTATAAAAATAAATTCATTTTGGGAATTTTGACATGTTGTTTTTAACTACATTGGTTATTTATTTTATAATCACAAATTTAAACCATCTATACTTTTCACTTGGATATAATGAAGTGGATGGCTTCATTTTTAAAATTTATTTTTATGTGTTTAGTCAATATTGGACTAAAATAATCAATATTAAATTTTATTACAGTTTAATCTCATCAATTGTTAGGTTTCATATCTTAAAAATATAAATTGTCAACAAATGATGGTGTTTAACCAGCTAAGGTAATATTTTTGGTTTTAAATTTGATTGAGGAATTAAAATTATTAGTCTAGATATATTTTTTAATTTTTCTTTCTAGCATAATACCATTGAACACTTAAAGTTGTCAGAATAATGCTTTCAGTAACTTTTTAATCAAATGTTGACAAAATTTTGTTGCTAATAATTTTTTGATTTATGCACTACTATACTAACTATTGAAATATCAATAATATATCATATTTTTATAGGAGGGGCATGGCCAAAGGCTGGGCAAAGTCTCACCAATCTCCCTCCCCCTATATAAATTCTGGCTATACCACTGCATAATCTAATTTGATATTTTGTAAGTTTATATACATAGCTGTATTTTTTTATAAATCTAACTAATTAATATCTAAATATTTCAGTCTAAATGAAGGTCATTTCTTTAATTTGCTAAAATAAATTCAAATAAAATTCTTAAACCAAATTAAAAAAATTGTATAAAATGTTTTAGCCATTCCATGTCAAACGAGCAAGGAAATGATATTTTCATTTCAATTTTTTTAATTGTAAAGTTAATGTAACTAAGAAATGACTAAAATTTTAGCCACCTCTAACATTTATATTTTTGGAGATATTAGGATTCAAAGTGGCAAAAATGACATATGTTTACACCTCATTCAATTAAACCATATCTTAAAAACTACATAATTTTAAATAACAAATTTAATATCAAAATTATGTACAATACTTTTGGATAAATTTTTTTTAAATTTTCCAATTTCCTCCATTTTATTTATGATATAAGAATTTAAAACAATTTCTTGGAAACAATACTACCTTCAATTTTATAAAAAAAATTCCTTTATATTTATAAAAAAAAATTGGCCTGGGAGGTGGCTGCCTTCATTCTCAAAATAAAAATGAATAGAAAAGTGTATGAATATTTTCTCAAAAGGGGGAATTTTTGTATAAAATTACAAATTAATAATTTTTCAATAGTTGTACTGATAGACGTAGCCAAAAGGGAGTGGCAGGGGGAATCACTCCTTCAGAAATTTGTCACTTTTTGTGAATAATTTTAAGCTAATAAAAAATTTCTTAATTCTTGAGCATATAGACTTTAAATTTGGTGGAAGATGTATTTTTATATATAATTAAAATTGTTTTACCCAAAAATTATAAATATTACCCTAGTTTTTTTTGCTTTTAGCAAATATTAAGGCTCAGAATTTAAAAATTTGTATACATGTTCCTTAAAGCCATAGCTATAAAATAAAATTTATCGAATGTTTATATTATGATTACAAGTCACGAGTATATATCACTTAGAAGTATTAACATCGACAAAACTTTTGGGTAAAAAGGAACATTAATAGTTTGTGTTATTTGGATTTGGAATAAATATTTTGAATAGTTGCAAAAGGGAAAAATAATTGAAATGTATGATGTGCCTAAAATGGACACTGTGCCATTTTTGATATAATTTTTTATATTCCAGTATTGTATTGATTAGTTAATACTAAAACTGATCAATAGCTGTCAAAATTGCAATATTTTGTTCAATTAAACAATATAGTTATGTTCAATTTTATTTTGACTACTTTACCCCGATGCTTATCCATTTTATGTAGGGTAAAATGGCGAAAATGTTTTTTTTTTTTAGATGGTGGGATTTGAATACTTATATGGCGAAATGTTTTTTTTTTAGATGGGGATTTGAATACTTATAAATATTTAATTTGTTCTGTTTTGATAATATTCCAAAATATTATGATAAATATGCAAAATATTAAACTTTTACCGGGTCTCCTCTATATATATGGATTTTATTATATTTTATACAAACTAATAATATATTTTATACAAACTAATAATATATTTTATACAAACTAATAAAAATATATTTTATACAAACTAATAAAAATATATTTCCTATTTGTTCAAGACAACTTATTTTTGATACCACTTTATGGTAAACAATTTCATAAATTTTAAATAAAGATAAGGTTTTATTAAAATTAACCTATTCATAAAAAAATTTCAAGCTATATAGTCTAAAAAAATCCGGCCGAAACCCGAAATAAATGGACCGAAGGCTCTCCAAAAGGGGTTTCCAAGGAGCAAAGCTGCCTATAAATTATTAATACCCCCTTAAGTTTTACTTAACTTATTTGATATAATTTAAAAGATTATTTATCTTGTTAAGTGAAGATAATAATCAATGGGGGTTTCCATCAATATTGTCAATCGATAAAAGAGAAATTCAACTTAGTACATCATTTATAATTTATTTTATTTATCCATATAATATATTTTATGATTTTTAATAAAATATGTTCAATCAGAGTTCTTTAATATATGAATCAGAATCTCATGTACATGTATGGCGCCCTAAATATTATTAATAATTAGGGCTGTGCCGATCCACATATTTTTCACCGATCCGATATTTTCCGACATTGGTTTAAAACCGATTCGATACCGATCCAAGATTTATATTGATTTTTCACCCCCCCCCCCTCTGAACCAAATGTAATTAAGTAATCAATATTTTTTATGCAAAAAATCGAATATGCATTATAATTTAATATTTTTATTTCTATAATAATTAAAAAAAATTTACGGATATTAGCAGTATTAAATGAATTTTTCATTATTCCTCCCCGTGAAATCAGAATTCCGCAGATAACGCATTTTGCAAAATTATCATTGTCTTTTGTAAAATATTTCTATAATTCAGATACCATATTTAAAAAAAATTCTTTTATTTAAAGTATAAATAATAAAATTGGCCATTTAATTTAAAATTTTTATTTCTACAATAATTAAAAAAAGTTTACGGATATTAGTAGTATTAAATGAATTTTTCATTATTCCTCCCCGTGAAATTAGAATTCCGCAGATAACGCATTTTGCAAAATTTTCTTTGTCTTTTGTAAATATTTCCATAATTCAGATACCATATTTAAAAAATTCTTTTATTTAAAGTATAAATAATAAAATTGGCGTTATTATTTAAAAAGATTTAAAATAAATAAAACTTTGGGTTATTTTTATAAAAAGCTTTTAAAATACTATAAATCTATTTAAAAAAAGAAATAAAATTTAAGAGGTGTTGCGCATTTGCATTGTTTAAAAAAAAATTATTTAGAAAATATTATTAATGCAAAATAAATATACATTACAAAAAAAAAGAAAAGTAAAAAGATCAGATCGGGTTTTAAAGGTATCGGCCCGATCCGATGTTATTGGAAGACGCGAAATATCGGGCCGATCCGATATTTAACATTGGCACAACCCTAAATATTTGATATAATATAAATTTAAAATGGTAAATAACCTCTTACAAAACTCTAATTTTTCAACGCATACTTTCTTATGACCTAATTTATAGCTATGACCAGTAGCAGTTAACCGTGAAATGAATTTTAAGATATAACATTTGGGTAAGTAAAGAGAAAAGGAATTAGAAGGTCCGGATTTTTCTTTCTTATCTTTTCCCCTAAGTGGGCCTTAAGATCTCCAATAAAATTTATGAGGAAAAATTCATCTAATAGTGCTTCCCTCCCACCCTCTTAGCAAAATTCTGGATTCGAATATCAACTACATACCGATAAGGCAAAATAACGAATGATCTTATTCGTCGATTAGTTATTTTCTTTATTCGCATTCGCAAAATTCTAACTGAATTGAATAGGAATCACGAATTATTCATTTAGACAATATAGGAACCGCGCTTGAGTGGTTACTTTGGTTTAAAAAGAAGGTGTGAATATTAATCTTAAAATATGCGCATATGATTTTTGACTTTATATTTAAAAAAACTTATTTGGTTAATTTGTTCAATAGTGTTGTTTACATAACCTCTTGTTGACTTATTAATATACAATAAAATAATTTTACATACATCCATCCCTTTTAATATATTTTATTTATTATTAAAAACATTAAAAGTATGAATTGAAACCGATAATTTGGTAGATTACATTATTATATTATGTCTGCCACG